TGTGTGTCTGTGTGTGTCTGTGTGTGTCTGTGTGTGTCTGTGTGTGTGTATTTATTTAACATCCTAATTTTATTGTGCTTAGGCTCAACCCCAGGGCCTTGTGCATGCTAGACTACTATTCTTCCATCACCAAACCAATAAAAAGAATTAAAAAAGAGAAAGAGAAAGAGAGAAAAATGAAGATATTGGGCCCACATTTTGAGTCCTGGAGATCAAATTCAGGTTGTCAGGCTCGACGGCAAGAACTTTCACCCTCTGAGGCATCTCTCCTTTGGTTTTATTTTGTTGTTGTTGATAGTGGTGGTGGTGTGTATGTATGTCTTTATGGTATTTCAGGGGTTTATGTTTGTTTTGAGGCCCTACAGTTTTTTACTACCTCATGAGGTAATCTTGGCTGACCTGGAACTCTGTGTAGACCAGGCTGGCCTCCGTGAATGCAGAGATCAGTCTGCCTCTGCCTCACAAGTGCTGAGATTAAAGGCCACCACATCACACTTCTTTCCTCTCCAATTTTCTTTTCTTTTAAGATTTATATTTGTGTGTGTGTGTAGACCAGAATAGGGTGTTGGTTACAGGCAGTGTAAGCTGCCAGCCATGGGTGCTGGGTTCTGAACTCTAGTCCTCTAGAGGAACAGCAAGCACTCTTTAACCACTGGGTCCTGTCTCCCAGCTTGATTCTTTTTTTTTTTTTTTTTTTTTTCGGTTTTTCGAGACAGGGTTTCTCTGTGTAGCCCAGGCTGTCCTGGAACTCACTCTGTAGACCAGGCTAAAAACCTTAAAAAAAAAAAACCAAAAAAACAAAAAAAAGACCACTAAATTAATCACTTTTAATGTTTTTCTCAAAACACCTTTTTTTTTTTTTACAGAAAGTGATAATGGTTTGTATCTTACTGTTCATAAGATCATTTATAAACAAAAATAGCATTATAAATAATGTTAATATGTATTATAATTCATACAAAATAAATGAACTGTAATATCTTTAAAAAATGGCTCAGTGGAGCGCATTCTGTTGACACCAGGTGTCTCCAATTAAGTACTAAGCCACGAGGGACCATTCACACCCCAGCTCCTTCAAATTCACAGATACAGGTCAGCCTGAGGTGGGTGGACTGGGCTGTGTGCCTGTGCCTGTGCCTGTGCGTGTGTGTGTTGGGGGTTGGGGAACAGAGACGACACTGATTCTATATCCTGAGCACCAGTGATGGTCATGAGGAAAACATGTCCAATTTTCACAGGGGACATCAGCTTTGTGTCTCCCTGCCTCCACTCTGCAACTCTGTGGTGATGTGACTAAGAATGGTCTCCCTAGACCCACATATTTGAATGCTTAGTCATTAGGAAGTGTCATTACTTAAAAGAGTAGGAGGCCTTGTTGGAGCAAGTGTATCACTTGGGGTAGGTTTTGAGGTTTCAAAAGCCCATGCCAGGCCCAGTGTCTCTCTCTCCTTGCTGCCTGTGGGTCCAAATGTAGAACTCTCAGCTACATCTCCAGCACTGTGTCTGCCTTTGTACGGCCATGGCAATAACGGACTAAACTTCTGAAACTGTAAACAAGTCCCAATTAAATTTTGTCTTGGGGCTGGTGAGATGGCTCAGCGGTTAAGAGCACCGACTGCTCTTCTGGAGTTCCTGAGTTCAAATCCCAGCAACCACATGGTGGCTCACAACCATCTGTGATGAAATCTGATGCCCTCTTATGGGGTGTCTGAAGACAGCTACAGTGTACTTACATATAATAAATAAATAAACTTTAAAAAAAAGAATTATTTAAAAAAATTTTTTTTTGTCTTGGTTAGGGTTTTACTCCTGTGAACAGACACCAAGGCAACTCTTGTAAGGACAACATTTAACTGGGGATGGCTTACAGGTTCAGAGGTTCAGTCCATTATCATCAAGGCAGGAGCATGGCAGCATCCAGGCAGGGATGGTACAGGAGGAGCTGAGAGTTCTACATCTTCATCTGAAGGCAGCTTCAGTGGAAGACTGACTTCCAGGCTGCTAGGATGAGGGTGTTAAAGCCTACACCCACAGTGACACACCTACTCCAAGAAGGCCACACCTACTCCAACAGGGCCACACCTTTGAACAGTGCCACTCCCTGGGTCTAGCATATACAAACCGTAACATTTCACTACCTGGCCCCCATAGGCTTGTTCAAACACATGAATCTATAGGGGCCAAATTTATTTATAGTATAATAAAAAAGTACATTTAGTCCAACTTCCAAAGTCCCCATAGTCTAGAGCAGTCTCAACAATGTTAAAAGTACAAAGTTTAAGGTCTCTTCTGAGATTCTCATCCAATCACTTTAACTGTAATCCCCAAAACAAGTCAGGAAACCAGCTGGGCAAACTCCAAACATCTCTATGTCTGATGTCTTCAAGTCAAAGTCGTCTTCAGATCTCCACTCCTTTTTCACCTTTGTTGACTGCAACAAACTTCTTTCTCCTGGGCTGGTTCCACTCCCTGTTAGCAGCTTTCCTCAGCAGATAGCCCATGGCTCTGGCATCTCCGATATCTTGGGGTCTCCAAGCAACTTCAATGTTACAGCTTCTTGTTTCAGTGTCTGGGAACCACACATGATCTTCTGGGCTCCTCCAAAGGGCTGGCCTCTCTTCTCCAGCTCTGCCCTCTGTAGCACTCTAAGCTCAGGTTGATCCGCTCCACTGCTGCTGCTGTTCTTGGTGATCATTCGAGGATTTCTTTTTATCTTTTTTTGTTTGTTTGTTTTTGGCTTTTCTTTTTTTTTTAAGATTTATTTATTTATTATATATGAATACACTGTAGCTGTCTTCAGACACACCAGAAGAGGGCATCAGATCCCATTACAGATGGTTGTGAGCCACCATGTGGTTGCTGGAAATTGAACTCAGGACCTCTGGAAGAGCAGTCAGTGCTCTTAACCTCTGAACCAACTCTCCAGTCCCAAGGCAACTCTTATAAAGGACAACATTTAATTGGGGTTGGCTTACAGGTTCAGAGGTTCAGTCCAGAATCATCAAAGCAGGAGCCTGGCAGCATCCAGGCAAGCATGGTTCAGGAGGAGCTGAGGAGTTCTACATCTTCTTCTGAAGGCAGCTAGGAGAAGACTGGCTTCCAGGCAGCTAGAGTGAAGGTCTCAAAGCCCACACCCACAGTGACACACCTACTCCAACAAGACCACACCTTCTCATAGTGCCACTCCCTTGGCTGAACGTATACAAACCATAACAAATGGTTTATTTTTTGTTTGTTTGTTTGTTTGTTTTGGTTTTTTCCCCCCTCAAAACGGAGATCCACCTGCCTCTGCCTCTCTGGTGCTAGGACTAAAGGCGTGACGCACCACTACAGCCAACATCTGATCAGATTTTTAATGGTTCTTTTATCCACTCTTTCCCATCTTAAGATGGGATTTCTGGCAGTGGTGGAATATGCTGGAATCTATTTTTACTGATAACACTGTTGATACATCTTCTTTACCAATTTCGACTTGACCTAGTGTTGGGTTTTCACCATACCTGTGTTCTGCCAGCATACCCCTTGATCCGCTCTGCTACAGAAGATACTATGACAAGTACCCCTTTCCATAGAAGAAAACCTAGGAGCATGCAGTTACAGGAGGGAAATGTGATGCTTACCTGTGATCTCAGCATTTGAGAGGAGGAAAACAGAGGATCAGAAATTCAAAGATAGCCTCAACTACATAGAGAGTCTGAGGCCAACCTGGGCTACAGGAGATCATCTCAACACCCCACCTCCTCAAATTTGAAGCAGTTAAGGGGAATTCAAATAGTTGTAAGCGTTGTGATTTCAGAGCCTCTGTCACTATCCAGCTTTTTCAGCATCAGAAAATGTCAGTCTCCCAGCCAATCCTGTACAGAGATGCCAGGAATTTAACTCGGCTCTGCCAGGCACATTTTAAACACAATGAAAGTTGCGTTAGGCCCTTTGCCGAGCACCTGAAGTTGCAGATACTCGGGAGGCTTAGGTAGGAGGACATTTTAAGCCCAGAAGATGGTCAACACAGCAGAGACCATAGCTCAAAATAATTTATAAATAAGAGGCTGAATGAGAGTAAAGAAGAGAAATAAGGGAGAAGTTTAGGAGGTCTGCAAGGAGAGTTTACGTTGGGGCGAGGTGGGCTCAATCACACAACACGATGCCACCTGGTAAATCCTTTCCCAAACAACCAATCTTCAGTCTCTACCTAGAACTCCGCTTTACCAACGACCTAGAACTTGTCAGACACTCCCTTAGCCACGCCCCCCAAGCCAAGAACGGCTGTGTCACTTGCGACTAGGTCCCTGGGCCTGAAGAAGGGCGCAGGCCGGATCCTGGCGGTGGCAGCAGGCTGAACACGCGGAGCGGGGGCGACGTGCAGGAGGAGGAGCTGGCGGACAGCTCCGCTGTCATGTCACGCCAGGCAAAGGATGACTTCCTGCGACACTACACAGTCTCGGACCCTAGGACCCATCCCAAGGGTTACACAGAATACAAAGTAACCGCCCAGGTAAGGTGGGACCCAGCGGGGAACATTACCCTTTTAAGCAGCTCGGGAACCGTGTTGTACCGTAAAGGCAAAGAGCTGCAGGGAGGTCGCGTTTTGGCCTACACAAATGGATTTCCCCTTTAAGAGTCTGAGGCAGAAGCGTTAAGGTGCCTCACCGCCTGGGGCGGGGCTAAGGGTGATTATTAAAGTCTGTGGAGCGCTGCTCCGCGCCCCGCCCGGTTCACCGTCCCCCATCCTCGCCCGGTTGATGGTAGTGTCTAGATGCGGACTACGAGTTTCTCAAAGCAAGAAAACTCCAGATTAACCCAAATATTCCTTCTTTAATCTCTTAGAGTAACTTGTGGTAATTTTCTCTGCTTGATACGTAAAAGCTCCCCCACACACATCTTTTTATTTATCTTTTCTTTTTTTGAGACAGCCCTGGCTGTCGTGAATTCACTGTGTAAACTAGACTGGCCCGGAAGTCACCGAGACCCGCCTGCATCTGCCTTCCAAGTGCTGGGATTAAAGCCGTGCGCCACCATGCCTGACTATAGAAAGCTCTTTTAAAAATTATATATTATAATTTTTAACTTTTTATGTATTATTATACATGTTCATATATATAATATTTGTGTGTTTTTTAAAACTTACGCAATTTTAAAAGACTGGTCTTCACAGATAGGGAAACTAATAAGCTGAAACTGATGTTTATAACAATAAAACTAACGAGCTCGTAGAGACATCAGCACGAAAGAATGCTTTTAGAATTTTACCCAAGGGCCTGTAACTGTGGAGGTCTCCATCGGGAGGAACTGGGTTGCTGCCCGAAAACTGACTATACATTTTCTTTCTCCTTTTCTTTCTTTCTTTCTTTCTTTCTTTCTTTCTTTCTTTCTTTCTTTCTTTCTTTCCTTTCTTCCTTCCTTCCTTCCTTCCTTCCTTCCTTCCTTCCTTCCTTCCTTCCTTCCTTTCTTTCTTTTTTTTTTTTTTTTTTTTTCGAGAAAGGGTTTCTCTGTGTAGTCCTGGCTGTCCTGGAACTCACTCTGTAGACCAAACTGGCCTCGAACTCAGAAATCCACCTGCCTCTGCCTCCCAAGTGCTAGGATTAAAGGCGTGCACCACCACCGCCTGGCAACTATACATTTTCTTGTACTTAAATTTTTTTCAACTAGGCAACTGTTTGATTTGTGCACTTGTCAACTGTTAAAAGGAAGCAAAGACATAAACGTCGCTCCCAAAGCAATCTAAGTCAGAATCTTAGATACTTCAAGAGTGTGCTTATGCACAATAGCTTGCTTTTTCCCATGGCAAAAAAAAAAAGTCTCTAGGAGGATGGCTGGAGGGAAGAATGAAAAAGCATTCATAACCCTTTCTCATGTCTTCCTGTTAGCTTTTTAGATCTAGTCACATGCCTTACACATGCATATTTTTCCTTTTTTTCTTTTCTTTTTTTTTTTTTGGTTTTTCGAGACAAGGTTTCTCTGTATAGCCCTGGCTGTCCTGGAACTCACTCTGTAGACCAGGCTGGCCTCGAACTCAGAAATCCACCTGCCTCTGCCTCCCAAGTGCTGTATCTCTCTTGCCACAGCACCCTACAGGATGGTCCTTTTATTTTATTCTGTATATTTACTTAATTTTTTTCTTTTTCTAAGACATGGTTTTTCTGTGTGGTTGTCCTGGAACTTATGCTCAAACTCACAGCGCTCCGCCTCTACCTCCCCAGTGTCACCTCCCTAGGGGTTAGAAGTGTTTGCCACCCCACCTGGCTTATTAACTTAAAGATTTAAACCGTAGTTGGTTTGGTTTAAAAGAAAAAGAAAAAAAAAAAACAAAAACCATGTGCGCACTATCCATGCGATATCCGAGGTAGCCAGAAGAGGGTGGTAGATCCCTGTAGATTGAAAATCCAGGCCCTTGTGTGCCTTCCTGTTGATGCTGGGACTAGAACTTCTGTCCTCTAGAAAGCAGCCAATGCTCTTAACCTGTGAGCCATCGTTCCAGCTCCAGCTTTATTTACTTTTATTTTATGTGTATGAACGTTTTGGCTCTATGTATTTATACGCACCAAATACAAGCCCGGTGAGCTCAAAGGTCAGAAGAGGTATTTAGTCTCCTGGGATTGGACTTATTTCTATCTGCCATCTGAGTGTTGAGAACCAAACCCAGGTCCTCGGCTACAGCAGTGAGTGTCTACCTGCTGAGTCATCTCTCCAGCCTCCTGATTTCTTACGGATGTATGTGTCTGTGTGAATGTGAACCACAGCTGTGTGGACGCCTGTGGATGACGTCAGAGGAAGGTGCGTCAGACCAGATCCTGGAGCTGGAGTTACAAAAGACTGTGAGCCACACAATGTGGGCGCTGTTCTGGGCACTGAACATAGTCCTTGGAAGATCAGGACATGCTCCTAACCACTGAACTACCCCTCTAGTTCCCATCCTTGGCGTTTACATGGGCATCTTAATCATGTCTGATTTGCTGAGATCTAGGGGGAAAAAAAGGAAATCATGTTTTGGAAACTGTTAATGATTCCAAACTGTACAACCTTACTGTAAAACTTTTATAAACATAGTAGGGAAAACTAAGTGTTACTTCTCTGTCTCAGGCCAATCCTGTTCTTCCAGAGTGCTCACTGCTTCTGTCTTCATGGGTATGAGACCTCATAGCTCCTCTCTTAAGGAAGAACTAGATCCCGGGACAGACTCTTTTTTTTTTTTTTTTTTGGTTTTTCGAGACAGGGTTTCTCTGTGTAGCCCTGGCTGTCCTGGAACTCACTCTGTAGACCAGGCTAGCCTCGAACTCAGAAATCTGCCTGCCTCTGCCTCCCAAGTGCTGGGATTAAAGGCATGTGCCACCACTGCCTAGCAGACTCTCATTTTTTAAAATGATGTATTTATTTTTATTTTATGTGTATTGGTGTTTTTCCTGCATTTACGTCAGTATGAAGTTGTTTGATCCTCTGGAACTAGAGTTACAGTTGTAAGTGACCTTGCGGGTACTGGGAATTGAACCTGGGTCCCCTGGAAGAACAGCTAGTGCTCTTAACTGCTGAGCCATCTCTCTTAGACTCTCATTGCTTGAAAAGTATAGGGTTTTTTTTTTTTTTTTTGCTTTTTGAATACCAGGACTTGCCCCTAGGAAGGAATTGGGATAAAAGTTGAGAGCCAAGCCTGGTGGCACATGTCTTTACTCCCAACCAGAGGCAGAAGTGGCCAGATCTCTGTGACTTTGAAGCCAATCTAACCACCAAAGCAAGTTCCAGGCCTGCCAGAGCTACAGAGGGAGGCCTTGTCATCCCTCAAAAAAAAAAAATTTTTTTTAAATAATAAAGTTGGGCTGGAGAGATGGCTTAGTGGTTAAGAATACTAGCTGCTCTTCCAGAGGTCCTGAGTTCAGTTCCCAAGCAACCCCACGGTGGCTCAGCTCACAAAAGATCTACTGGCATGTAGGTGTACATGCAGACAGCACGCCTAGATTTTAAAAAAATATACATAAATAAAAAATATTAATAATAATGTTGAGTCTAGGGCTATCTAGACAGATATTCAGTATCCTTACTTTTACCGGATGAAGATACGGGTATACAACAGAAAATTTTCTCAAGGAACTGCGAATGTAACTCAATGGGAGAATGCTAGCCCAGATCTCAAGAAGACCTGAGTTTAATCCTTAGTACCAAAAATAAATAATAAAATAGCTCAATTTAGTAATGTGTGTTGTAATCCCAGCACGTGCAAGGCAGAGGAAGGAGGACTTGGAGTATAAGGCCATCCTCTGCCACAGAGTCAATTTGAGGCCATCCTGGGCTACATGAAACCCTGTGTGCAGAAATCCAAAAGAAAACTTGCTCAAAGCCTTAAATCCAGGACCCATTTATTCCAGCAGGCACTTTCTTCTGAGGGAAGCTTTGGAGGGTGTTGTAGTGTTGCATGTCAGGCTCTTGTCTTTCCTTTTTCAGTTCATCTCAAAGAAGGACCCAGAGGACATCAAAGAGGTAAGACTCCTGGGAAAGAGGGCACTGTTCCCATACACATATTCAGCATCAGTAAGGGACTAGCTGGTAACTTCAAGGACCTGCCTTCTTCCCTGGCCTGTGCTGGAGAGGATATATGCAATCCTTCTCAGTCTCTAGGATATGCTGTGCATGGGAAGGCCACTTTCCACCCGTGCTGGTCCAGGTTCAATTCTCACCTGCCTCATAGGTAGTAGTCTGGAAGCGATATAGTGACTTCCGTAAGCTCCATGGGGACTTGGCCTATACTCATCGCAACCTCTTCCGTCGCCTAGAGGAGTTTCCGGCTTTCCCCCGTGGCCAAGTGTTTGGTAAGTACTGAATCTGAGCCTCTGCCCAGTGTGCAGGTAGATTTCAGCAAAGGAGACCTGGTCTGATGGGGGCTGTGAGTGTGATCCTGTACCCTAACAGACATCTTTGGAAAATGGGCCTTCTGAGTGGTCTTATTGAAATACAGGGGAAGCTGAGACTCGGAGCAACCTTCCCCTTATTGTGTGTTGGGCTATGAACAGTCCCAGGAAGATGAGGCTCATCAAGGTGAAAGGCCTCTTGGAGCCTTAGTCTGTTCTATGTTGCAATAACACACAGAATGCATTAGTTACTATAGAAAAGACACTTATTTTGACATATGGCTCTGGTCCAAGGTTCAGAGGCCACATCTGTTGATGGCTCTATTGCTGTCAAAGCCCCAAGGTGGCAAGGAGCATTGCATGGAGAGAGTCAAGGATGACGTGAGTGATAGACCAAGCTAGCTTTTCTAGCAGAGAACCCATTAATTATAGGAGTTCCCAGAGTCATGTGTTGTTGGCAGGTCACCCAGGCCAATGAGACCATCATGGAGAGTAGGCTAGGGCGCAGGCTGTGCCCCCAGCACAACAACTAAGGTAGAGCTAAACTATATATACTACATGTAGCTTTGCATTTACTGTTGGTTTTGGTTTTGTTTTTTTAATTTTCTTAAGACAACATCTCAAATGTAGTTCAGGCCAGCCTTGAACGTCTAATGATCCTCCAACCTTGGCCTCCAAGTATGGGCTAACTGCTGTGTAGTACTCCACCTTGCCTAGCACTCAAACAGCTTCTTGCTCTGTGACCTTGGGCAAACACCTCCTTCTCTGAGCTTTACTTCCATCCTGATCCTATCCAAGCCACAAATGGAGTTTCCTGTCAGACATGATAGGCCACACCTTTAATCCCAGCACACAGAAGGCAGAGGCAGGTCCCTCTCCGTGAGTTTGAGATTTTCATACTAAGTTCAAAAGCCAGCCAGTTACATGATGAGACAGAGACTGAGAACAGACAAACACAGAGAGAAAACGTGGGAACAGAGAGAGGGGAGAACAGAAAGAGAAAGGAGAGAGACAGAGATTTCTTGTTTCCCTAGCTATGGTATGATACTCTGAGAACAGGGAGCTGGTTTCTCTCAGGAACCTGAAGCCGGCCAGAAGCATGTGTCTTTACACATCTGGAGGAGGAGCCAGGGAACACGGGAGACTAATGGGAGAATGGGGACTCCAGCTGGCTGCTCAGCGCTTATAGGCAGAACCAGGGACCAGAAGCCCCCCGTGACACTGCTGCTCTCCTGTCCTGGGGTCTGCAGGTCGGTTTGAAGCCTCTGTGATCGAGGAGCGGCGCAAGGGTGCGGAGGACCTGCTGCGCTTCACGGTGCCCATCCCTGCACTCAACAACAGCCCCCAGCTCAAGGAGTTCTTCCAGGTAAGTGTCTGCTCCCCTCCCCAGTAAAGCTCCCCTGTACCACTTCCCTCCTAACCAGCGACATTCCTCACCCCTCCCCTGCTGGACTTTGTCTCCTGCAGGGCGGGGAGGTGACACGGCCTTCTGAGGTGTCCAGGGACCTGCAAATCCTTCCACCCCCTCTAATCCCCACACCACCTCCTGATGAGGCCAGGCTATTTCAGCCACTGCCTGCGGAAAGGAGGGGCCAGGAGGAGTTGGAGGTGCCAGGTATATCGGGGTCAGGGAAGGAGTGAGCCCTCCTCAAGAACCTCAGGGAAAAGCATGGGGCAGGCAGCTCTACCATCCACAGGGGAGGGCCTCTCAACAGGTCATTTTCTTTTCTGAGCTTCGGTTTGCTCAGCTACCAAACAGGGTTCAGCAACCTAATAGAGGCCCTGTCAATACCCATGGCTGCTGCAAGGGTTTATCAAGATGGATTCTGTTTTGAAAGCTGAGACACAGTAAGCGCAGACATCAGTGTCCCTCTGGTCTCTCCTCAGTGGATCCCCTCCCGTCCAGCCCTGCCCAGGAGGCCTTGGATCTTCTCTTCAGCTGTGACAGCACCGAGGAGGCTTCCAGCTCCCCAGCTCGAGGTCCCCTCTCTGAGGCTGAACTTGCCCTTTTCGACCCTTACTCCAAAGAGGGTAAGGAGCAGGTGCGGGGTAGTGGAACTAAGGGAGACCCTCCGTGGCCATGAGAAGCTCTGTGAGGAGCCGCGGAGGGTGGAGCCGAGTCCTTCTCTCTGAGCAAACTCTGGGTAGCACATCACAATAGGGTCCTTCCTATTGCTCACAGACCTGCTGCAGCTGGCCTTAGTGGCCCACACCCAGAATCCTAGCACTTGAGAGGCAGAAGCAGAGAGACCAGAAGTTCAAGGTCATGGGCCAACAAGATGGCTCAGAGGGTGAAAGCCCCTGCCTGTGAGCCTGGCAACCTGGTTCCATGCCCAGATTCAACCATAGATGATTAAAAACAAACAGACCCAGATCCTGTCCTACAGCCATGACACACTCATGCCTGCACTCATGCAGGCGACAGACAATAATCATCAACTCAGCCTTTACAGAACCTCCTGAGCCAAACCAAGGAAACAGATCCCAGCTGCTTCCGCCTACTCCAGTGAATTTGGGGTTGTCCAACCTCCAGTGGGACAGTTTGGTGTCTTGGTGACACTTAGGTGGGTAACGGGCCCTGGGAAAGAGACGGCCAGTTTGTCCTGATTCCTCCCTGTTTTATTACAGAAAGTACAGGTCCCGGCCCTACCCATACAAGTGAGCTGGCAGCCATGGAGGTACAGTCCAAAAGACTGGACCAGGAACCCTGGGAGCCAGGCGGGCAGGAGGAGGAAGAGGCTGAGGATGGAGAACCTGCCCCAGCTTACCTCGGCCAAGCCACAGAGCTCATCACTCAAGCCCTGCGGAATGAGAAGGCTGGCGCCTATGCTGCTGCTCTCCAAGGCTACCAAGATGGGGTGCATATCCTGCTTCAGGGAGTCTCAGGTGGGTAGGGCAGTAAGGAGCAGGGGAAAGTGGAAAACAAAGGGCCTGGGGAGCTGGTGCAGCCGGTAAAGCGCATGCCATGCCAGCAGGAAGACCTGAACTAGAATGCCCAGAGCCACACAAAATGGTGTGCAACAGCAGAGTCAGGAAATCAAGGGTTCCTGTGACAAGATGGGAGGCAGGGACAGGAGAATCCCCAGAAACTCAAGGGCGGGAGAGCCTGGCATAGGCTTCAGAGAACAACTTAGAGATCTCATCTCAGACACGGTGAAGCAGAAGACCCACGCCCAAGGTTGTCTGCTGGCCCTCACATGCTCACTCACACACATACAACATATTCTAAAGAAAGAGGGGCCATGAGCCTCTTCCTCACAGGTCAACTAGAGGCGCTGGGCACAATTTCCCTTCGCTGGGTACAATTTCCCTTTGTTGGGCACAATTTCCCTTCATTTTTAAAACAGCCTCATAAAATGGGGCAAAGACACTAGGACCTAGGGAGAGAAAGAGACACATTGTGACCTCTGAATGTATGTGGGCCATCTGCTTTCTACAGGTGACCCATCCCCTGCCCGCAGGGAAGGTGTGAAGAAGAAGGCAGCTGAGTACCTGAAGCGGGCAGAGACCCTTCATGCACACTTGCCCTGAGGTGGGCCCTTCCTGGGATGTCAGCTCCAGCACTGCCAGCCTCCTCCACTCCTCTGCTTGGGACCTGGCCTTAGTTTCTGCTCTTGTAACCCCAGGGTCATATCTGTATTAACTGGATCAAGTATGAGAAAAGCAAAGACTTCTCAGCTCTGACCTGCCCGCCTCCTTGGAGTCAGACTTGAACTTCTGGTCCTGCCTATCTGTTTTATGTGAATGGCATCTGGGCCACTCAGCTGTCAGTTCACCCATCTAGAGCCAGGGTCTGTAGCCAGACCTGGCCCACTGTCTTTTTTTGTAAGGTCCTCCAGGGTCGGTCTTTCTTTCTTTCTTTCTTTCTTTCTTTCTTTCTTTCTTTCTTTCTTTCTTCCTTCCTTCCTTCCTTCCTTCCTTCCTTCCTTTCTTCCTTTCTTTCCTTATGGTTGGAAGGAAAAGGATTCTTTGACTAGTGAAAATTTCATAAAATGTAAATACATGTGAATAAAACACGTGTCTGAACACAACCAGGTCCATTTGCTTATTATTGTCTGTGGTTGAGTTTACATTGTACCAACAGAGTTGAATAAACTCTGTCTAGCAAATCATACCTGTTGTTC